TACCATCTCGTTGGTGTGATTGTGGCAAGTTTCAAGCCTTTCATATGCCTTGCTCTCATGTACTGCGACAATGTGTGTATACTCATCAAGACGCATTACAATTTCTATCTCCTATTTACAAGTCTAAAACCTTGCTCAACATATACAACAACAGCTACCCATTGGTAGAAAAACCTGATTATTGGTCTGCATACGATGGCGAAATAGTATGCCACAACGAGCAAATGCGAAGGAATAAAAAGGATCGTCCCAAAAGCAAGCGTATCACAACTGAAATGGACTCCCTTGACAAGCTAGAAAGAAAGTACGGTTTATATCGTCAGGTCGGACATAATCGCAATAATTGTCTGACTCGGACTACTAACTCAACAACATAAAAATTATATGCAAAACATCTTTACTTTTTTAAGTTCTAAACATTACGGTTTTCATTAAGAGCATTTGTTAAAACAAACCTTACGCAAACAACAAATAAAAACACGATAAAACGTCTAAGAAATTATAACCGTCAAAATAATTTCATCTGACCCTTGCATCATCAACATTATGTTTTCGTCTGTTTTGACTTCCTCCAACCAAAAAATATGTCTTCCTGTTGCAAGTGAGGTGGTTGTTCTTCTTCGCTGGATCAATCTAATTTGTTCCTCATCCTCGATGTCTCCCTCTAGTCATCACATCAACTCTCTCTTCAGACGCTTCATGGAGTGAATGTGCCAAAATTTTATTTTCATCGGAGGTTTGGTGGCCGAGAAAATAACGTAATCATCTCTGGTGAAAATCATGGGAGATGTCATTACGCAAATAACAGAGAAAAAATAATAAGACAATGCGAGAAAGTGTGAAGAATGACAGAGAAACGAGAGATTTATTTATAGAAAATAACATTTTGTCCCAGACGCCAAGTGAGATGGTGCATCCTCTCATATTTAAGGTGCATGCGCCATCTCACTTGGCTAAAAGAGAGAGCATGCGACAAGTGAGATGGTGCCTAGGGCAAAAAGACAAGTGTAGGTGTCAACTGTATTGGTTCCTCCTTTGTAGAGTTTTCTAAAATATAGTTGTTTGTACAATTTTATCCAAAACATGGTTATTTATGATTTTTTTTTCAAAACCTGATTAATAAAAAAAAAATCTAGAATAGTATATAAATTATTATAAAACTTGTAATTATATTTAATTTATTTATTTAAATAAAATTATTATGGTTGTGGTAGTCGTGTTCGGATTTGACTTGAGCAGTTGTATTGACTATAGAGTAGTATAGACTATTGACTGGACCAAAGGTGGAGAGAAAGAAAATGAAGTGTCCGTACTGTTCATCGGCGCAGGGTCGCTGCGCCACCACAACTACCGGAAAATCCATCACCGAATGCACATCTTGCGGCCGCGTCGTGGAAGAACGACAATCCCATCCCCACCACCTCTTCCACCTTCGTGCCCAAGACAACCCTCTCTGTCTCGTCACATCCGATCTCCCTCCTCCCACACTCCATCAAACCAACCAACAACAAACCAACACCAACGGCGACGAAGAAGAAGACCCATTCGAGCCCACGGGCTTCATAACCGCCTTCTCCACATGGTCCTTAGAGCCCAGCCCGCTTTACCTTCAATCTTCTCTCTCGTTCTCCGGTTACCTCGCCGAACTCGAACGGACGCTGGAGTCGTCTTCTTCGGCTTCCTCGTCGACCGTTGTTGTGGATAACCTTAGGGCTTATATGCATATTATTGATGTTTCTTCGATACTTGGATTGGATTGTGATATTTGTGATCATGCGTTTCAGTTGTTTAGGGATTGTTGTTCTGCTACTTGTTTGAGGAATCGGAGTGTTGAAGCACTTGCTACTGCTGCTCTTGTTCAGGCCATTAGAGAAGCTCAAGAACCTAGAACCCTTCAGGTTATATTTCTGTTTTTTTTTTTAATTCAATTATTGATTGAAAGTTTGAAACTTAATTGGTTGTTATTCACTACTCTGTTAGAGAATGACCTAGACAAACTATAGGAGAAACTATTCAGAAATATCTCGAGATTAACTAATTGGATACAAACATTGTCTTCCATAGATCATTATGGTGTAACGTAATGGTATAAGGCTTGATTGTTGTTATTGTTGTTGTTGTAGTTGTGCCGTAAGGACTATGCAACTTTTGTCATGAAAAAATTTGACATGGATACTTCACAGATAGGTATTGGTGAAGCATCCCAAGTATCGGTATCAGATATGAGATATGTACTTGATGTGGGTAAAATCTTGATAATGACTAACATGCAACGCTTGTGAAATGTCAGGAAATTTCGATTGCAGCTAATGTAGCACAAAAGGAAATCGGGAAATACATCAAGATATTGGGAGAAGCGTTACAGCTAAGTCAACCTATTAACAGCAACTCTATATCAGTTCATATGCCAAGATTTTGCACTCTTCTTCAGCTCAATAAATCTGCTCAGGTAACCCGGGTTTGCACCAAAGTTTGACTTCTAGTCTTCACCTTATTTCGTTTTGAAAATCTTGAAACGGTTGAAATGTGTGGAAAGTGCAAACAGAAGCCTATGAATTATACCATGATATAGTTAGTAAAAGATTTTGAATTTACTTCTTTTCACCAAAAAACTAAACAGATTTTGAATATATTACCTATGTTTTTCTATTGGGGGGTGGTGGATCTGAGATAGACCTTACATCACATATCTGCTTCAACTTTTACAAGATTCTGAATTTTCTATTACTGTTTTTATTCTATCTCTACCAACGGTCGTGCCATGGACACCGTAAACCTCTTTAATATGTCCGTGGTAAGAACTGTGTACTCACTACTCATTATACATGGGTGGACATTCAATCAGACCTGGATGTCCGTCCAATGATCAATATGTGGTAATGAATTTGTAATATGTCATCTAAAAAATAACTCCTCTTAGGGTGCTTTCTTTTACTCTACTTTTATCATATTACAAATAATGCCCAAATCTGAGAATGGCTCCTACATTGCATTTTAGGAACTGGCTACTCATATTGGAGACGTTGTGATCAACAAATGCTTCTGCACTCGCAGGAATCCAATTAGCATCTCAGCTGCAGCCATATATTTGGCCTGCCAACTAGAAGACAAACGAAAAACCCAGGCCGAAATTTGCAAAGTAACTGGTCTGACTGAAGTCACTCTCCGTAAAGTGTACAAAGAATTATTAGAAAATTGGGATGACTTACTTCCCTCTAATTACACCCCAGCTGTACCTCCGGAGCGGGCATTTCCCACGACCTTAATTGCTTCTGGACGTTCTTCAACAACTAAGATTGATGCTATAGAGATTACTTCTTTGGACTCAGAAAATTTGCCGGAACTTAAACCATGCAAACCTAATGAGGTATCGGTCTTGGTCCATCAGTCAAGAGGAAAGGATGAGGCCGATGGTAAAAGCAATGCTCGTGCAAGCAGTTCCTCAGCTATTCAACAGTCAACCTTTTGGCAATCCCAACTTCCCAGTGCGACACACAATCATCAAAATCAGAATATTTTAGAATCAATGGATATTGATGTGTTGCAACGAAACCACCAACAATCTGAACCCATGGTAGAGGTCACAAACGGTGCTGCCATTGCTAGTTCGCTAAATTCAAACCAACTTTACAGTCCTCCTGCTTCAAGTTCCAGCTCTATTATGAGGTCGTTTTCAGCTCCTCCTTCATCCGCTCCTCCAAATATTCGACTAATGCAATCGTCTAAGACAATGCCAGGTTTTCCAGAGTACTGAGATGAGCTCCTTGTATGTTACTGACATAGCTCAGATAAATGAAACGAGTTCCTTGTATTGTATATATGTATTGTGGCATTTAGTTTGTCTCTGATGTGTGAATTTTGTCGACTGCTGGAAATTTTCGTCCCCTACCTTAATATGCGACTAACTCGTCTCATATTACATTGGATTTCATTCTTCAAAACAGGGTAGATTTGCATTCAATATGGAAATCATTGGATTGGTTTTATTTTTAAAATTGTTTTCTCACCTTGATATTTTGTATCTGTATTTTTCACATTTGTAATTCTGAGTGCAAGTTTGAGTTAAAAATTGGTAAAACACATTTAAATTATGCTTAATAATAAAAAATATTCATGAACATAAATGACAGCATAAATTATTAAGTAATAATAATAATAATAATAATAATAATAATAATAATAATAATAATAATAATAATAATAATAATAATAATAATAATAATAATAATAATAATAATAATAATAATAATAATAATAATAATAATAATAATAATAATAATAATAATAATAATAATAATAATAATAATAATAATAATAATAATAATAATAATAATAATAATAATAATAATAATAATAATAATAATAATAATAATAATAATAATAATAATAATAATAATAATAATAATAATAATAATAATAATAATAATAATAATAATAATAATAATAATAATAATAATAATAATAATAATAATAATAATAATAATAATAATAATAATAATAATAATAATAATAATAATAATAATAATAATAATAATAATAATAATAATAATAATAATAATAATAATAATAATAATAATAATAATAATAATAATAATAATAATAATAATAATAATAATAATAATAATAATAATAATAATAATAATAATAATAATAATAATAATAATAATAATAATAATAATAATAATAATAATAATAATAATAATAATAATAATAATAATAATAATAATAATAATAATAATAATAATAATAATAATAATAATAATAATAATTCAATTGAAAATTTATCAACAATGATATTAATATTTTGTCAACAAATATGATTTAATAATGTTTAAAAAATAATATAACTTCTATATATCAATTTCTTGTGTAAAAAAAAAAAAAAAATCCATTTCTTACACAATTTACACATTATAAATGGATTATTTATTCTGAAATTATCTTCCTGCGAGTATCTTATCCTCTCAAAAGCTCTCGGACATAGATCAAGTTCTCTAACAATGGAAGCCTCAAAGATATTACTATTCTCCTCGATATCAACCTCAAAGTTACACACAAACCATTCAAATCACCCACTTAGAAAGCTAAAATCTCATCAAATGAGACTAAAACTCAAGATCACGAGCATGGCAAAAGAAGAAACCGACACAAACATCGGCATAGCAGAAAAAGCAGCAATAGCAGGTGGTTTAATCTCATCTCCAGTTATAGGTTGGTCTCTCTACACACTGAAAACAACTGGTTGTGGCCTTCCACCAGGACCAGGTGGATCAATTGGTGCATTAGAAGGAATAAGTTATCTTGTTGTTGTGGGAATTGTTGCTTGGTCTATATATACAAAATCAAAAACTGGTTCTGGTTTACCTAATGGTCCTTTTGGGTTACTTGGTGCCGTTGAAGGGCTGTCATATTTGGCATTGGTTGCAATTGTTGTTGCTTTTGGTTTGCAGTATTTTGAACAAGGGTACATTCCTGGTCCTCTCCCTGCTGATCAGTGCTTTGGCTAGATTTTTTCTGTTGGTTTTCGTTAGGATAAAGTGATGAGTATGAGCCACTACAATTCTATCATTGTATTGGTGGATGTGGCTGCTCCATGTTTGTTTAACTTTATCATTTTCCACTGCCTTTTGTTGTTGCCACAATATTGAGTTAACATATTTTGTGATGAATGTTCTGATGGTAAATAGAAATCTATCGTGTCTACTATGTTTTATTTTATGTCATTTTCTACCATCGAAAATGCATGAATAATGCTCCAAGCATTGCGGTTGTAATGGTAATAATAACTCTAATTGGTAAATAGATTCTCTATTTTCCTCCCGTGCTTCATTCAATGATTATATGTGAAGTGTTAAGCTCTGTTTTAAAGCTTTATCGCTTATTTACTCTCTTCACTTAATTTTGAGGTCCGTCTTTATTATCCCACAACAACAAAAATGTCATCTACACTTTAATTTTATTTGGTGAGTTGTTCATTTTCATACAAACCACAGAAGCAGACCAAAAGTCTAAGACATGGCTTGCTACAAGAAACTATCCTTATTGAAAGGGGGAGCTATAATTCTCCCAACAAATTTTTTAGGTTGCTTTGTGCCAAATTGCATCTCTTTCATAACATTGGCCACTCCCAAATTGCATCTCTTTCTATGCTATTTGCATATTTCTTAGCAGAAAGGTCTCGTAAATGTGATTAGTTAATCTGATTCTAATGTGATTTTTTTAACTAATGCTCCAAACAGAACCATGCTAGTATCTGCCATAAGCAAATGTAAAGTGTTCAGCTCTCTTAACAAAAGTGTCGAACATGTTTAATGCCATTGTCTTAAAGTTTAATCACTTTTTAGTCTCTCAACTGAATTTTGAGGCCCATCTTTATCCCTTAACAACAACAAAAATGTCATTAATTTTCTTTAGTGAGTTATTCTTTTTCATCCAAACCACGGATGTAGACCAAAATTCTTAATTTATCCTTTAATTTATGCTAACAGACTAGGCAAATAAAACTTGTTCCTGTTGCATAGTCAATATTCAATCCAAGGATATTTTTTTTATAAATATTACACCATCAAAATTTAATATAACAAACTTCAAGCAATATGTAAAAATGTTATTCAGAAATAACAGGAAAAAAATAAGTTAATAATGCAGTAAATATTTGTTGCCCCCTATTGCCACGCTTTCCTCCCCCGGAATTGTTTGCCAGACCTCTGCCTTTTTATCTTTTTCTCTAGCTTAACTCTTGCTATCTTGTTCCTCTTCGCAATTAGCGGCATACTTTTCTTGTGTTCCTTTTGTCTGTTACTTAGACCACCCGTCTGTTCAAAACAAAAAATACACTTGCATCAAATTTGAGAGCATAAGAAAGAGAACTAAAATGCAGAAATTCAAATATTTTTAAAAATGAGCGAATAGGAGAACTAACATACCTTTTTCTGTTTTACAGCTGCCCGAGAATGATACTGTCCTCTTTCCTCCCTCCCTGCTCTAACCATTGCCAACCTCTCCTCCTTGTTAAGCTTTTTCTTTACATGAGCCTAGATATAGGTAAATTTTATTGCCTGTGTTTTTCCGTTTTGGTATCTACAAAAACAATTTAAACAAGCCAGAGAGTTACTACTTACTTCAAGCATGGAACCATCCACTCGCTTTAAACTTAGTTGATCAGAGCTAGGAATCTTATTTGTTGATGACTTTACAAGCCCATGTTGCACTAATGCAGTTCTTGCTTCTTTTTTTGCCTGTAAGTTTAGTAAACAAAACTCAACATGATAAAAGCTACAGAAATTAGACCTGAGCCTACTGAATAAGAGATGAACAAACCTTCAGTTCCTTGATCCTCTGGAAGTCTTCATTAGAAAGAATTCCATCATCCTTTTCTGGTAGGGCATTCTCTATTGTTCCTGCCAATTTCTTCAAAGCCCGGAGACTTGTATCAGCAGATGTAAGTTGATCATTGAAATCTCTAAACTTCCTCTTTTTAGTTGAGTCATTTAATGTAGTTTTTGTATCAGCACTTCCATCATGACTAGGAGTATGCAGATCATCTCCAAGATTTGAAATCTCATCATCCTCTTCATCGGCCTCTTCACTGTCTTCTAGATCATCATCCTCATCTTCAACATCGTCAATGGTTTCATAATCAGAACTTCCATCGTTTTCATCATCTGATACAGTATCAGGATCTTTGTCTTCATCGTCATCACTTCCAGTGTTATCACTGCCTGGCTGGTTCTCATCGTTGAGATTTAAACTTGCCTGATCATCTTCCTGGTCATTGTCTGAGTCACTATATGCAGAATCATCAGAATTATTACCATCCTGCTCAACATCATCGTCACTATTCTGCAACAGTTCAGCACCAGGAACGTCAGTCGCAATATTGACTTCTCCATAAGCCTTTGGTCTAGCTTTGGGGTCAGTAGGCCGCCCTCGGTCCTTCTTAATTAGTAGTGAAGGGCAAATCTGCAAGCAAACAACATTAATCAGATGTTTTCCCTTCTTAACCGGATGCTTTACCACACATGCACACACCCCAATACAAAGGAGTGACGGTAACCACCTCTCGGAATAATGTAATCAAAGATCGAGCTGCTATTGAAACTCCCTTCTCATGTGACTTCTTATAGAGGGCAAGATCTTGCAGTAAATCTTCACTCATTAACTACAGTCCACAAACAAACGATCAACATATGATAAAGGAAGAAGTTTAGGAAGTTAACAAAAAACACAGAATATATGGTTTAAGGAACGGAGTTATCCCATTCTACGGATCATGTCCCAATCCTAGTAGTTAAAAGCAATCCGTGTTGGATGTGCAAGATATATAGTCAGGACATAAATCATTAAAATGCATATATATCCAAGAACCAGGAAACTGCAGTAGTTACCAGTGGTATACGCAGGCACATTTCCCTTACAGCATTTATTCCAACGGTGATAGCCTAAACAAATCAACCAAACTCGTCAACAAATCAAAGTTGAGTGTCCCTATCATAATAAAAACTCCATAGTACTACATCTACATCAAATGATAACAGATTCAAATAAAAACCTCTGGGCGTGAGCGATCATGTACAAATTGATTAACAATTTGTTTGAACAAGGGCATAACATCATCTGCAGGAACCTGTGTAAAAAAATAACACCTTGAATGAAATAGGATACAAAAAACAAAGGAAAGCATCATACTTCAAAATTACTTAAGAATCAAATTTTGAAAGAAAAAGCTAATAATTATAAAAACAAATCAGGTTAAGAGAAATCACAATATACTGTACCTCGTCGTGGCAAGCCTGGACTGCTGCTGCAAGCAAATTTGTAACGTCTCGTTGATGGGGCTGATTGCAAAGATGAACATTACAATTGTCACACTTGAGTTATTTATAAAATAGCAAACTTCACCAAATTTAACTAATGATACCTGGATATATTTCTGAAGATAAGGGTAAAAGTTAAGTAAAATTAAATGGTGAAGCCCAACTGTTCGAGCAATCACTTTCAACATCATCATCTTGACCTAAAATTGAGAGTGTAATTGTACAAAACCAGTAAAAATGGAATCTTTAAAAATCATTGGAAGATTTGAAAAGGAATAGAAAGTCTTCATTTACAACAATATAGGCATATGTTGCTTTGGTTTTTATTAGAATTGTGTACCTCAAATCGTTCGTTACATTTCTGCAGACGAGAGAACAGCTTCTCAACAAAACCCTGCAGATCACATGGAATCAAGATGTTGATTTTATAGAGCAAAACAAACAGGAAATGTATCTACGGTGACAACGACAAAATTTAACAAACCTGGGGATCTTTCAGATGGTTGAGTGGTGAATAATAGATGTTGTTGGCCCTTTCAGACGAACCACGCTGTTTCTTTTTCATGCCGCGTATTATGCGGTCTAATTTCTTCTTCTTTTTCTTTTTGCTAGCTGATGTGCCTTGGTGACTTGCCTAAAATTTCGTAAGAAATAAGAATGACCCATGTTTCCTGATAACTAAGTGCAATTTTCAAAATTCATCAGCAACTTTAAACATATTGCAATGCTACTATCATCCTTATCTCCAATGAATGAGTGCAAGCACAAAAGGTACTAAATACTAAGTTTGGATGGAGGGAGTGGAGCAGGGAGTTATTCAGTCAAGTTTTCGAAAACAGTCTGCAGTTGAGATTGTGGCCACAATATCAGGGCCTTTTTTATGTCCCCACTACAACAATTTCTGTAAGTTGTATTTGACTACAAACTTATGCAATATCAAGAGCAGGCATGCAACCACAATTTAAGACCTTGGGTCAAGTGGTAAAAAGATTTCAACTCGTTGCTGGGAGTTTTATTATCAAAGGGTGAGATTTTAAAGAGGGAAATTTGTACCAATCAAACCTAGCAACTTGAAGGGTTTGAATTGTACATGTTATTTCTACAAGCCAACTTATAAAGCTATTTTGCTTCTCAGTGTTCATAAGAAGTGAGATTTGATCTAACTAACCACAAGGTTATTGTCAATTTATGTTTCCTTGATTGACATTACAAAAATCAGGCCTATGCCTTGGTGTTCCTAGAATTCAAATTGCATATGCAAATCCTTATGTCAACGTCTATTGAAAATTTTGATTTGTTGCTGGTATGTCAAATATTTTACTTTTTATGAACGATTTTATGCTGTGTATCAAATTGATCAAGGCATTAATTAAAGCCTGATGGAATCATATTCCTACTTTGATTGTTTATACGTGTCTGCATGAAGTTAAATATAAAAGTTGAAAATCTGCTCGAGCTGAATTCTCTACTTATAAGTTATAAGTGAGATTTATCGTAACCAAGCATTTCTTGTTAATTGAAGTTATCTGGTTTGATGCTATCCTGCTCTATAGGGTTCAATCTATGTATATGCACTGAATACCAGACATGATAACAAAATGCCACAGTATCCGATATTATGTAATGTCTCCAACGACCTCACACTCAACCCGGTATTCTTCTTTCTCAAACATACTCTTGATTATTAGCTTCTCACAATGCCAACTTGGCAATTGCTAATTGCTAAATTCGGGGTCCTAAAAACTGTGTCCCTTGGGAAATTTAGGCCTACTGGTATGTACCTCATATTCTCTAAAACATGATTGTGTGCCAAGTATTCTATTCACCTTGGCCTTTATCTTATTTTAGATTGCAAGATCTGATCTTTGTTGCATTATTATAATTTATGAGCTATATTTATTACCTTTCCACTCCATTATGGACCCCTCAACCCCACCATCTTTAAAATTCCTAAATATATCGTCACATAATCAATGCCAATATCACTCATAGTCATATCAACTTATATATATCATTCTGTTTGAATTTGGAAAACAGACATATGATTATATGAAAGCTAATTTCGCTAAAGATTAAAAGAATAAGAGTGTTAATTCAACTTCAATGTTTATAAGATCATCTCACCTTGTAAACAGTCTCCCTTGTAAGCATAACTTGAGGTGTTACAGTCAATTCCTCATCACTATCTGAGTCATCACTATCGTGGTAGTTTTCAATTTTCTCATAATCCAGAAGAAAACACAATGTTGCTATCAAGATTCTGAGAAAAACCGTAACATTTAGCCTTTTGATTAAAAAAACCACAATAGAATACAGAGCAGACAAAAAAAACAAACCTTGAAGATGAATGGAAGGAAGCAGTGCAAATTGCATTTGCTGTTCTCTCATCAAACCATATTTGTCTTTTGTGAAGGTCGCACAGAGTCACAAGTGCCCTCTTGGCCCGGCCTTCATCCTCATCCTATTCAAATAACACAAAGCCATTCACTAACTTAGAAATGTGTATTAGGATTAACAAATTGTGCTTTATCCACTTTAAGGCTCTGTACATATTTTTGAACTTATAGCTTATTAGTTCATATGACAATAAAAGACCATTTTCATCACGGGCTTATAGCTTATTTTACTAACTTATAGTTTATTTTCCATCCACTATAATCAAAATCTAACAGCTAGAAAAGCAAACTCCAACCCAACCAAACAAACCTGTAGCATGGTAAAAAGAATGTTCTGAAGTGCACGGTTTTTAGCTTCGTCCTTACGCTTTATGTTCATCCTCTTTATGCTTTTAACAACATGACTAAAGGCCAACTCCCTCAACGGTTTATCGCCTAGGGTTTGAAGGTCCATGAACAACGGAAGCGTATCTTTAATATTAACAATCTGCAAAATCCACACTAACAAATCAAACCAATAGGCTATACTTTCAATTTCAAAGCACATTCACAACAAAGAAACCAAAAACACAAACCTCTCGATTGATAAGCAGAATAAGAGAACTCGCTAGGTCTTTACGAAGTCCAGAAGGAAGCGTACGTGCGGCGCATCCGAGTAAATCAGCGAGTTTGAGAGGGAAATCAGCGAGGTGGTTAGGGTAGAATCTGGTCATGTGGGAGAGGAACATGGCTTTCTCGGCGAGATCTTTGGCAATGGTGGGATCGTTACTGATTCCGGAGATGGAAGTGAAGTTCATAGCGGCTTGTTGCTGGAAGAGTTCGAGTGAGGAGTTGAATTGGCTGCGGATAAGGAGTAGCTCTGATTCGTAGCCCTCGGGGTCGCACTTCATCTTTGATTGAAGTGCTGGGAGGCTTAGCTTCTCGGGGTTTCGGCCGGAGGCTAGAAGTGCCTCCGCCGCAGGTACGCCGTGAGAAGGCATGGTGGTGATAATCGAATTATCGGTAAAGGCTATGTTACGGCGTCGTGTTTTTGTTTAGCAGTATCACCCTAGGTTAAAGAATAAAGAGGGAATGGGATTGTGTTTCTCTTTAGCTCAGTTCGATTAATCAAACGGCCCATAATAGCCACGTGTCGGGGGGAATGGTGTTTCCACCCTTATGGCTTCTCCTACACTACTCTAAAATGACTAAAATGTCCGAAGCATCTGATTTTTCACACACATACTTGAAATAAAAATGGTGAGAAATCTTTAGAAAGTAAGAAATTGAGCTGAAGATACATTCTTGTATGAATAAAATGTTGATTTGGATTTGTATCTTTGGAATATCTCTTAGTTCATTAATCAATGAACAATTCGGATATACATCTTTAAAACTCTCTTTGTTAGATCATAGCAGAAACAACAATGACATAATGAAATTGAAATAACTTAAATTAATTCTAAAATAAATATTATATATATATATATATATATATATATATATATATATATATATATATATATATATATATATATATATATATATATAAACATTACATAAATTTAATATTGTGTGTTATCAAAAATAGTTAATTCGAGATGTTGCAACATTCTTATAATATCGTCGATTGATCTTTGAATCGTCGCATCCACTTTAATCAGACTCTTTAATGAGTAACGGTAAAAAGTTATCCACATCACCTTCAAATCAACATTCATCTTTAGTTCAAGCAATGTGAACGGTAAAAGGTTCCACAAGCACCACCACAATGAAACCTTCAACCATTCAGCCTCCGCGTGAATCTCCGCCTTGAACAACCACCATCGATCCTTCATTCTCTTCAACCTCTGATCCGAACTCAACTCACTTTCTAAACACACCATATCCGCTATCACCACCCCCTCTTTTCCACCAACATCTCACTCAACATCGAACAATAACAAAATTAGGACCGAAACTCAAAACCTCTACCGTGTCATCAACATTATCGTTGAGTCAGCAATTGCATCTTTAATTCGCTTCATATGCTTCTCGTTCCAACAACCACATTGATAACATCAACATCAACGATAACATCCATAATCCGCCACTGCTTAGACGATAACATCAATTTGTTCGGTAACATTTCGAATTAGATTTTCTTGTGTTTACTGTGGAGTTGATGCTTGTATTGTATTTTTTTTTTGGATTTTGATTGTATGTGTGTTATTTATGCGATTTGATTCTTTGTAGGATTGTGGTTTGTAATAACGTTGTAACAATATTTGTGTTGTATGGTGTTATTTTATGGTGGAGGTGTCTGACGTAGGCTCTATTACAAGGGAAATATTTACTCATGGACTTCCCTCCAGCAAAATCAGAGATCTGAAGGATCACCACAGAATTTGGGCAAGAATTATTCTGGGGTGTATCAACCATAGGAAGCCAACTAGCTCTCCTGATTATATCAACATTGATCAGCAGTTTCTGATCTATTTCATTGCCAAGAGGACTAAGGTAAACATCCCACACTTGTTGTTTAATCATCTTAGAACTAGTGTGAAGGAAACAAGAGAAGATGAACGAACCAAAAGGGACTGGATACCCTTAGGAAGACTCGTATCAGATATTCTGACAGAGAATAGGCTGATAGAACATTTGACTGAAGCCCAGGAAATCAGCACTTTGGAAGCAACCGCTGGGAAGCCCCTGAACGCAAAAAATCCGAAGAAGATGAAAATCATTGAGAATATAAAGAAGGAACCTACTATTACTTCTCATGCAACCATCACTTCAAGAAGGATACCTCTGGATGATTTTCCTCTATTTTCTGATATTGACTTCAAGCCAAAAATAATAGTCAGATATCTGGACGCTTGCAAGGAAGATGGTACTGCACCAGAAATCAATATCCAGGACTTACACAAGGCTGCTCCAGAAGTTGCTTTAAAGAAGACCAAGAAGAGGAAAGTTGCAGCAGAAGGACCATCTCAGAGGACTCCAAAAGTTGCCAACAAGAAAGGTAATCCTTCCTTTGTTTCTGTTATAGAATCAATAAACGTATCAACATCTGAAGCCATGCCTACTCAACCAGAACATCCAACTCCACAAACATTTGAAGACTTTGACGTAGGGTTTGATCCATCAGAAACTCTGGGTCTGAATGAAACTCACTCCCTTTCTCATAATCCAAATCCTGAACAAACCCAACTGGAACTTGCCAAAGTTCTGTCTGATATTGATTCATTTGACCAAGACTTTTCAGCTCCCATACCATAAAATCCAAACTCTCAACTCCCTGAAAATCCAAACTCTGATACCACACCAGAAATTCCGCAACCTCACTCAACACAACAAGAAATTACTCATCCACAATCACCTCAACCTGAAATACAACAACCAGAAGCTCAACCTTATGAGAATCAATCTTCTGATATCCATGAACCAGAATCTCACCATGTTTCAACAAACCAATCTGAAGAACCTCATTTAGATTCTAATACAATCCCTATACATGGAATCACAGAACCACTTGTTATTCGTATGCCTCTCACCATCCACGACATTCCTGAAATTCCTTCATCTCTGGAATCCATACCACCAAACTCCCCTACCAGTCCAATCATCATACCTGACTCTCCTACTCCTTCACCCACTAACAATCCAGCTGACAATGTAAGACTTGTCATTGATCCAATTGTGCTGGAAAAACTAGCTTCTATCTCTCACAAAACTACCATTCCCAAACCTAAACCAACTGAAACCACATCAGATGTTGGTACAAGTTTGTTGATTTTTGACGCAGGAATACAGGAATGGATAAATTCTTTGAAGCATGATAGTCAAGAGATGACTAATCCTACTGCTTCTGATTATATGTGGACAAAATTCAGAAACTGGCTTAGTTCTGAAATGCTAAAGCTGGAGGAACAGAGTTATGAACAGGTTCAGCAGAACTTTAGTGCTAAGCTGAAGGCTTTTCAAGACCAAGTTCTGAGCCAACTGCTCAAGAAAGATATTCTCTCTCTGGATAATGCTCCCTGGACAGAGCATCATCCCTCAGATGAAGTTCAACCAGAATCAAAAAGTCTCTCCCTGACTGCTGCTCCAGAAGACATGATCACAGCATAAGAAATGGTTCACTCTGAACAAGCTGCAGAATGCTCTGAGCAACGTCCAACTCCTGGAGAAACTCCAGCACCTTCCTTAGTCATGCAAACTCTGGAAGAGTTGAAGAAAGAAAATGCTCTAATCTATGTAAGGTTGGATAAGCATGAGGACACAAACAAAGAGATTAAAAGCATTATGGGCAATCAAGAAGAGTCTAATACTCAGATCAAGAGCTTGCTGAAAGCTTTGTTCACACGACTTCCTCCTCCTTCTTAGATTTTTTTTTGTTTTAAATCTGTTTATTTGTAACGCTTAATTTTTTTCCACTTCTATTCTGGAGCTTATCATTGCATCATGTTTTTTTTAATATAATTCAACTATTTTGGCTTTGATTATATTGCCTTTTTGATAACTGACAAAAAGGGGGAGAAAGTAAGATATTTTAAATAATGGTTTACCGAGACAGAAGTCTTAAATATTCTGAATTACTTAACCTATATCTTCTGAAAAGTTTGAACAGGTACAAATTCTGATGAAAGATGCAGCTAAACTCTGATGCTCAAGGAACTTAAGTGAAGTAATCAACTCAGGGGGAGTTTCTCTTAAACCTTTTGTTCTTTATTTTTAATTGAAGAATCTAGTTTTTGTCATCATCAAAAAGGGGGAGATTGTTAGAACATAGTTTGATTCTACAACCCTTAGTTAAAGTTTTGATGATAACAAATACAAAAAATAAATAATAAATACAAAGAACAGATATGCACCCTAAAAATTATGTTCTATGAATGCAGAAGTTCTGACCATATCAGCATCAGAAGATAAGCCATAAGAGCTACACGCTGAAGTAATCAGAACATGCGTTGAAGATTGATGACCAGAACATGCGCCTAATCAAAGTAAACTCTGATTCTGAACAAGAACATACCAATCCAAGTCATCAATATTCTGAAGCGTCATCAGCAAGTAAGGAGATAAGATTCTGAAGCGTTACTGATCATTCATAACAGCATCAATTCCAACGGCTTCTTTCAGACAGGATCTTCTCCAAATGGAAAGTGTGTTAATGACATTAAACATACTTTATGATCAACGTTATTCAACTGCCTATATAAACAAAGTCAACATTCAAAATCAATAACGATTTTGTGATATTACCACTCACGCATATTCAAAGCTGCAAGCAATATCATTTACATTTCCAAGCTATAATCCTGTGTAATTTATCACAGTTGTGATAAACAGTTTTTGTTAGAAAAACAACAACACATATCTTGTATAATTGTATTGAAACAGTGTTCCTTGAGATTAACCGGACCGTGGTTGTACTCAAGAAGACTTTAACAGTTGTTAAAGTAGTGATTGTAATCCTTTTGAGATTAGTGGATTAAGACCTCGTTGGAGAGAGGTGAAATCACCTTGACGGGTGGACTGGAGTTGAGATCAAACGAACCAGGATAAAAATACTGTGTCATTGAGCTTTTAACTTCAAGTTTTCAATTCAACCCCCCTTCTTGTGTTTTTCACATCTTCAACTTCTTTACTTCATGAAACCAGGGTTTGTCTATCACCTCTTCAGTATCAATCTCATAGCAGTGTGCTGGTTCATCTAACCTTTCAATGGTGATTCGAGGAGCTTCGTTGACCCACCTAACTTTAAACATATAAGACATAGTAGCTAGCGCGTCCGCTAACTGATTCTCCTCTCGTGGGAAATGTTCAAAATTACCTCCTCAAAGTGTGAGAGCAATGTCAGTACGTGATCTTTGTATGGGATGAGATTCGGATGCTTCATATCCCATTCGCCTTTGATCTGACTTATCACCAAGGCTAAATCCCATTAGACATTTAGGAACTTGATTTTGAGGTCAATAGCGGCTTTGAGACCCATGATGCAGGCTTCATACTCCGC